TTCTCGACCACCGTTTTTGCCTGCCGTTCTTGTACCTTAGCCTGATCCATTGCGTACCCGTGTACCGACCTTTTTGTGGATTAAACGTCTTCATTTTATTCCCTTGCCTGGAGTTTTGCATTTGGGTCCTGGAGTCACGACCGTGATACTCGTGTTGTGTTCAGGTGACAGGTACTGGGTTTTCGAGGACTCCACCATGGATAAGGACTCCCCCAGGAGCCTGAGGGAGCTGGGCTCCGGTCTGCCCGCGGACAGGCTGGACGCCGCCCTCTTCTACACGCCCACCGGCCAGACCTACTTCTTCAGAGGATCTGAGTGAGTCACCACGCCTCCGTCCAGCTGTCTGGTCCATTCAGAGCTTTATCCGACCGGCCAAACTTAAGTTATTGTTGTTTTCACATCAACCCAAAACCACAGCAAAGTCATTCGGTCATTACTTTCTACGGTATTAATCCAATTTAAATTTGATTTCTATAGCACCAAATCCCAACAACAGTTATCTCCCAGCTTTCCAAACAGAGCAGATCAGACTGGACTCTGGAGTTATTTACATTAGAACAACAATCCCGACCCAGAGCAGCACTAGGCGACACAGGGAAGGAAAAACTTCCTTTTAACAGGCAGAAACCTGGAGCAGAAGCATGGCTCAGGGTGGGGGGGGGCGGGGCATCTGCCGGCCAGTTGGGGGTGAGAGAAAGAGAGGGCAAGAGAGAGAGAAGGACAGAGGGAGGCACCCTACACACTGATACATGTATTGGATGAAAAATGGCAAAGATATTGATACTAATGATAATGATAGCAGTAATAACAGCAATAAGAATATGAACAGTGACATCTGTAGAAAGGGAAAGGGAGAGAGTCCAGTTAGTAACATTGTTAATGGAATGAGGCTGGACTGGGGCCCGGTGCATTATGGGAAATCCCTTGGCAGTCTAGGCCCATAGCAGCATAACCAGGGGTGGACTCACCCCTAACTATAAGCTCTATCATAAAGGAAAGTCAGCTCAAGCTCAAGCCCAGAGCAGGAATGAGTAAAAGAGACTCAGCCTGATCTCAGAACTGATTCCAAACAGGTACTACCGCTTCAACGAGCAGAGCCGCCGGGTGGCCAACGACTACCCGAAGCCCATCAGCAAGTGGAGCGGCGTGCCGGACAACATCAAAGCCGCCATCATGAGCGAAGACAGATGTGAGTGCTGCTCCCCGTAAATTACAGCTAAATCGGAGCCTTTTCCGCCGTCGTTTCCACATTTTGTTTTCGTTTTTAGTCCCGAGCCAGAACGAAAAGAGCCCGCAAACATTTTGAGCTAACTTCTTTTCTTTTATTTAAACTTTTTTATTTTTAACTCATTGACTGCCAGCCATTTTCAGAACAGAAAGTCCCATACTGCCAGAGTTTTTTGAGCATTTTGACTGATTTTTACAAGAGCCACAGAATAGTTTGTGCTATGACTATGTAAACACCGAACACACCAAAAGAAAGAGTAGACTCTCTTCTTTCATCAGGAAAAAAAAAAAGTTTCTACCTTATTCCGTTCTTCCTCCACTTGCGTCTCAGCGGCGATATGTTCTCTCATAGCGAACCGTTACGTTTTTCTTAATTGCCTACAGTCTATGCTCATCTCAAAAGTGGCACTGCCCCCTAGAGGGTCAATTTGTTACTACATACTCTGTCTAGAAGCCTGATATTTACGGACAAGCTTTAGAAGATCGTCCCCCAGCCACTCTCGTTGAAAAACATAAAAGACCTCTATAGACGTCTTTGGCAGCCAATGAGTTGTGCTAACCTCTGATCCTTTTCTTTTTCCCCCCCAAGCGTACACGTATTTCTACAAAGCCAACAAGTACTGGCGGTTCAACAACCAGCACATGAAGGTGGACGCCGGCTACCCCAAGTCGGTGCTGCGCGACTGGCTGGGCTGCGAGAGCGAGGAGCCCAAGAAGGGCCGCAAGG